GCTTCAGGCAACAGACTGAAGTCTATGTCTTCAAAGTGCAGTACCTAGAGTTAGACTTCCCGGCTAACAAAGCTAAGAAAGTGTGCTGAATTTCAGAAGGGTTGAACATCCATAGCCACTTTTGAAGCCAAGGGAATTTAGGAATGCTCAGTACCACTGCAAGTCAGGCCATTTACTCAAACATCTTATCAGTGCCTAATTATGGCCATCCATAAAATTTAGCCTCGGTCTTTCTGTCTCATTTTTCCCAGCTGCAAAATGGGACTAATAATACTTACCTACCATCTAATAATTGCACCATTACTATGCTCTCCCATGATCTGACTGAAGCAAAGACCTCAGGAAAGACTAAGACCAATCCAGATAGGATGGATGAAATGGTGGCTGGCAGGCAGAAGCAACTCAAACTTTTTTGAAAGTCTAATATCTCCCCCTTACCTGAAGGATTCTGCCTGCCTCAGTTGTGTGTCTCAGTTTCTGGGTGCTTTCCAGAAGACACCTTATAAAAGTCTGGTTTTCACTGGGTTGGTGCTCAGCACAATGTGACAACCAGGACTCTTTAGCGTGTCTTAGTCTGGGTGCCCAAGGTACTTGTGGGGCAGGGATTGTGAAGAAGCATGGCCTTGAGGAGAGCTCTGAAATACAAAGGAGTATCAGAGTTCTAAGTGTTGTTGTTCTTGTCATTTCAGATTGTGTTCAGGAACCTGGCAAGCCGGCCTTACAACATCTACCCTCATGGCCTCACCAGAGTCAGCTCATTTCACCCACTGAAGTCCTCTCAAAGTAAGACTGGCTGGAGAAAGCCACTGGAATATAGCAGAGGTCTTGGCAAATAGTCATGTTCCTTAGGGCAGGAGAATTCATGAAACCCACAGCATATGGGCTATGGATCCCAATCCAGAGTATTTGGGTGCTGCAGTTCCCCTGAGGGTTTGTCCATATTGTGGTGACGGTCAGTCTTGGCCAGGATAGGGCAAAGCACATCTAACCCACCCCCACCTATGGATGTGCTACAAACCCAGACATTCTCTAGTAAGGCTTTTCCAGGCTTCCAGTGAGGTTGCCCCCTGTGGCTGCTTGGGCCACTGAGGGTTTGCAAGTGGGTGCAAAGGAATGAGCCTGGGATGGCCTCACTAACCTGGTTCTGTGTTTGGAGACTGCCTGTGAATGCAGGTGTGAGTGTATGGAGGGGTTGGGAGGAGTGGGATACAGACAGGACATGTCCCTGTCCTTACTGGGACCTGTTGTCTCTGTGGTGTAGAGACGCCCTAAGGCTGCATAAACCCTTGGGTAGAACCTGCTCAGTCTGTGGAATCCCCCTTTAAACGGGGAGGTTCAGCAAAGAGACCTTATCAGTCAGGGAACTGACAGATGCTGTGAAGCCATTTCCCCATTATGCAAATGACTTTGATCTGCAGTTCCCAAGATCTGAGGAAGATCTCAATAAATCAGCAGGAACTTGCAGTTCAGATTTCCTCCAGTTTCCACTGAGGGGCCAAATCGACCCACAAAGGCAGAATTAAGAGGAGCTGGCACAAAGGTACCTCTCACTACCCCCTCATCAGTTCTGTGATTTAGGGGTACTGTGTCTTCCCTGTAAAGTATCCAGCTAACTCGAATTGAATGGTTCTTCATCCATAATGGAGGAACCACCAAACCTTTTTCCATGGCTCAGACGTATTTGTTTTTACACATAATTTCCCTTCCATGTCAGACTATCAGAGGTTGCATCCTCTACTGGCAGCGGTCACCAGTGCTGCATAGGAAGGATATACCTACCATAACAGATCTGGTCAAATGCGCAATGCCATGCCATGTGCACTGGGGAGATTCCTTTTCATTTTCTGCAGTGTTCAGCTTGTGCCATGTGTACATCACAGCAGTAATCTGTGATATACACTGTGATGTACATTTGTTTCACAGTGACCAGTGAAGACCTTCCAGGAACCACACAGCTATAAAATGATTTTTACGACTTAAAGATTGAACTTCGAAGGTTCCAAAAAACCATTGAAACAAAGCAAAAAAAATCATTTATCACAGCATTTCTTTACAAAAAAACACTGCTGTGATGGGTGAAGAAAAGGTAATGAGATTCCTGTCAGATGCAGCATGTTGGATACCACTACTAACACTATGCCTGTACTACTACATAGCTCTTACATGTACTACTCTTCATATACTACTCTAAATGCATTCTTCATTCTTTTATATGTACATGTGCAACTCTTCATGCAGTCTTCATGTGCTACTTCCTAGCTAGTGTTTAGAGAATTCAAAGGTTGGTACCATTATTCCTGTATTATGAAATGGATAACTGAAGCATGGATATGGAGTCAATCAGCAGAAAAGTGTCAGAGACAAAACTAGAATTCAGATCTGGGTCCCAATTTAGTATTTTGTCCACGGGGCAACATGACTTTGTAGGGGAATGCAATGTTTTCCTAGATTTCATAGACATTAGGGCTGGAAGGGACCTTGTAAGAACATCAGGTCCAGCCCCCTGCCCAAGGGACAGAAAGTCAGGTAGGATCAAAGGACCCCAGCAAGATAGGTATCCAAATGTTTCTTGAAAGTGTCCAGAGTAGGTGCTTGCACCACCACTGCGGGGAGTCTATTCCAGGCCTTGGTGGCTCGGACAGTGAAGTTTTTCCTTACGTCCAGCCTAAAATGGTCTTGCAGGAGTTTGTGACCATTGGCCATTGTCTTCCCTTGGGGTGCTCTGGTAAACAAGTGTTCCCCTAGATCCTGATGCACAAGCCTCATGTACTTAAGGCTGCCACCAAGTCACCCCTGAGCCTACACTTCTCCAGGCTAGAGTCCCATGGCTCGCAGCCTATCTTCATAAGGTCTGCTCTCTTGCCCTCTGATCATATGCGTGGCTCTTCTCTGGGCTCTCTCAAGCTTCTCCACATCCTTTCTGAATTGTGGAGCCCAGAATTAGATGCAGTACTCCAGCTGCGGCCTCACTAAGGTCAAGTACAGCAGGAGGATGACTTCATGGGTCTTACTTGAGATCCATCAGTAGATGCAAGCCAGAATTTTATTCACTTCACTGACTGTGGTATCGCACTGGTGGCTTATGTTCATCTTGTGCTTACTCATGACCCCCAAGTCTCTATCGGCTGTGGTGCTAGCGAGTGTAGTACTGCCGAGCCTATAAGTATGATGCAGGTTTTTTCCCCCCGAGGTGAAGCACCTTGCATTTCTATGTATTGAATGCCATCAGGTTTTCCTTTGCCCACCTTGCAAGCCTATTGAGGTTGGCCGGGCACTCCAATGTGGACACTCTTCCCTGGCGAATTTAGCCAGTCCACTTCTGACACCAGAGTCCAGATCATTTACAAAGACGTTGGAATACAGGTCTGAGAATGGAGTCTTGGGGGACACCACTGGTCCCTGAGTGCCACATTGATTCAGTTTCACCAACTACCACTCTCTGGGTCTGACCTCAGAGCCAGTTCCCCAGCCGTTGGACTGTAGGGTAGTTGAGGCTGCAGTTCCCCAATTTTTCCATAAGGACATCATGGAACACCAGGTCAAAGGCTTTTTTAAAGTCCAAATATAAAAACCTCTTCCCCTTTGTCCAGGTGATACATCACCTGGCCATAGGAGGAAATGAGATTGGTCAGGCAAGACCTACCCATGCTGGCTGTCCCTCAGTACGTTGCTTTCTGTTAGCCTGTCGATAATGTTTCCTTTGATAATTTTTTCCAAGATCTTTCCAGGGATTGAGGTTGACTGATTGGCCTGTAGTTCTCTGGATCTTCCTTCCTCTCTTTCTTGGAGATAGGCACCACACTGGTCCTCTTTCAATCTTCAGGTATTTTGCCCAAGCACCACAAGTTCTCAAATATCTTTGCCAGTGGCCACGCTATGATGTTTGCTAGTTCCTTTAGCAATCTTGGGTGCAATCTATCCGGACCAGCTGATTTGTGAGTGTCCAGGCTCTCAAGGTGTTACCTCACAAGATCTATGCCAATGGTGGGCATATATTCACTCTCACTCTGACATCCCGCATTTTGTCAGGTAGGGTGGTCCCCCTGGGCTGGTGAAAGACTGACACAAAGTAATCATTAAGCAGTTTGGCTTTTTCCTGGGTGTCGGTTGTCAGCTGCCTCATTTGGTTTAGCAGGGGTCCAATGATGCCCTTGATTGTTTTTTTGTACTTCCTACATATCTGAAGAAGGACTTTTTATTGTCCTTGATTCATATAGTCAGATGGAGTTCAGTTACAGCCTTGGCTTTCCTAGTTTGCTCCCTACAGGAGTGAATAACCAGAAGGCTGATACCTGCGGGGGAGGTGCCCACAGTCACTAGTCTGCTGCCAGTGACCTGCTGGGGGTCCAGACCCCTCTTCCCCTTACCCCCTCCCAAGCTTCCTCAGTGCTGCTGGCAAGGTCACTTCCATCCTTTATAAGCTTCTCTTTTTAGATATAGGAGGTCCATGAGTTGCCTGTTGAGCTAAAGGGGTTGCTGAGCTCTTTTACTACCTTTCCTATGGGCTGGAATGGACTTCCCTTGTGCTTTTATGATTGCTTCCTTACAGAGCAACCACTCATCTTGAACTCCCCTCCCTGTCAAATCATGGCCTCTCAGGGCCTTGACAAGAAGCCTTCTGAACTTACGAAAGTTTGCTTTCCTAAAGTCGAGGACTTCTGCATTGATGACTGACTTGCCAGCTTTGCAATGGATTGTGAAAGTGATAAGTTCATGGTCACTGTCACCCAGCTTCCCTTCGATTCTTAGGTCACTGACTAGTTCATCCCCTTTGGCCAGTACCAGGTCTAGCAGTGCCTTACCTCTTGTTGGCCCATAAACTTCTCGAGACAGATAGAGCTCATACACACGTGAGGAAGCTTTGTGACCTATCAGATTTGGCTGAGTGCGCTTCCCATGAGATGTCTGGGTAGTTGAAATCTCCCATGACAAACATGCACCAAGAGTGTGCAACTTCAGCCAGTTTCCTAGCGAATTCATGGTCCAGCTCTTGTTCCTGACTTGGAGGCCTGTAATAGACTCCTACCATTGTATCCCCTTCACCATGTTCCACTCATATTGTAATCCAGAGGGTCTCCCGTTGTCCTCCTTGGGTGCCAATCTCTGCTTGTAGAGAAGTGTACTGCTCCTTCACATAGAGAGCTACACCCCTGCCCCTTTTTTCAGTATGATCTCTCCTGTACAGGGCATAGCCATCTCTACCTGTGGTCCAGTCATAGGAGGAGTCCCACCAGGTCTCTGTTATCCCTATGAGATTGTAGTCATTTCTGTTTAGAAGAAGGACCAGTTCCTCCTGTTTATTCCCCAAGCTCCTGGCATTTGTATACAGGCAAGTAAGTGTGTTGTTGGAGACCCTAGATTTCTTTACACTCCTGGAAAATCTCCGTTCCTGGGCTGGGCTAGTGATGGGTTCCCTTGAGCAGCCTAACCTGCTGATTTGGTGGTTGATGCTTGGTGAACTCGCACTGGTGGTTGTCCGCCCATCCCCTCCCTGGTGAGCTTAGTTTAAAGACTGGTCAAGAAGGTCAGCCATTCTGGCTGAGAAGAGCTTCTTCCCTGTAACAGGGGGGCCTTCCCAGGGCCGATCTACCAATGCCCCACCCACCTGTTCTAGGCCAACCGCCCACCTTCTTTCCTGCCATGCCTTGATGATACCTAATTAACTATCTTAATTAGGCGGGAGGCTGCCCATTTCTTGCCCTGATGCCAGGGGGCACTATCTGTGGCTCTGTTCCTCCCCTACACCGCAGCCCAAGCCTCGCAGATGACATCCATGGTTCTTAACCTCAGCACCCCCACACTGGGCCCCAGAATCCTCCAGTCCAGACCCCTACAAGATCCCTCCACTTAGGCGGCCTACTCCGCCTTCATTCTGGGCTACCCTCTCTGAGCTGTTCCCCCTTATGGGTGTGGCCCCCCGGGACCTCTGGCTACACAGGTCCTCCCCTCACCTCCAGGCCAGTCAGAGCCTCAGGCCCTCAGCTCTGGGCATCCCTCGTGGTGGGCCTCTGGCCCTTTGACCCTTCTGGTCCTGGCCCCAGCACTGACCAGTCAGGGGATTTCAAGTCAGGCTTCTGAGTCTATGGCCCCACTCTCTCTCCTGTGTCTGCCTTCTGGAACCTACTAGTGGGTAACCCACCAGTTGTGGGAGGTGGGGTTATTAAGGTGCCCCAACTTGCCTTTCACTGGGGTGGCAACTGGCCTGGCATTTCCTGGGGCTCCTGCACCACTGGGAGCCCCACCAGGCCACCCACTCCTAGCAGGGTGCAGTTTTAGGTCATGCCCAGGACCAGGAGCCTCCAAACCATCCCCTACAGCGATGTTACTGCCTGGCCTGCCAGCAGCAAACGGCCGTGTTTATATAGGAGGCCAGAGATCTAAAATGGTCACTGCAGTCAAGCACCTCCTGGCTGCTTGGCTCAGTTCTTAAAGTTGCAGGCACAAACAGTGCCCTGCCACATTCCCCAATGGAGAGAAGTGGAGGTTGCCCCTTCCCAACAAATCACTGCCTCTTTCTCTGAAGCGTGGACTGTGGTCATAGAAGCCAAAGCCTTCATGATGGCACCAACATTACAGTCTTCTGTTCACTACTTCAGTTTGTCTCTCCCTCCTCAGCCCGTGACCCGTAACCGGAAGGATTGAGGAAAAAACCACCAACCCCCTAAGCCCCACTCCCAGAGTCCTGTAGTCATTCATGACCTGGCAGGGATTGCTCCAAGCCGTGTCATTTGTGCACACATGGATAAGGAATATGGGATAGTGGTCGGAGGGCTGGATACATTTTGGGATTCTCTCAGCTATATCCCAGATATGGGCCCCTGGGAGGCAGCAGACCTCCCAGGCTAAGGGATTGAGGTGGCAGATTGCTCCCTCTGTCCCCCTAAGGAGGGAGTCTCCCACAGTGACTACTCTGTGATTCTTCTTAGGGATAGTAGCTGGTCACATTTCTTTCTCACTTGCAGGAGCTGACAGCTCTGCCGGTTCTACTGGTGCTGCAAGGGCTTTGTACCTGTTGCAGATATCCAGGGGAGTGGTGACCCTAGTGCAGTGAGCCTTGGGGCCAGTGACAACCTTCATCCAAACCCCTGGCTGGACAGTATGGGAGCTCCTCTTGTTTACCTTTGTCCTGGCAGGCAACCTAGCTCCTCCATCTTCTTCCCTGGGGTGAAAGGCCTGACAGTAGGAGTCAATCTCCTGTTCACCAGCCCTGATGACACACAGCCTCTGCACCATGGTCTGGAGCACCACTATCTGGCACTCTGAGATTCCAATATGGAGCAAACCTCACAAATGGAGGTGTCATTGCTCCTGATCCCATGTGCCTGGAGCCAGGCAGCCCCCACAGCCGAGAGCCTGGGGACTTCTCTGAGTGGAGGCTGGAACCATGGGACCTGTCTGGGTGGAGAGCTCAGAAGTACCAGAGGGGAAGGGTCAGATCATGGAGGGGATCTTCGGGGTGCAGCATGTCCCCACCATGGTACAGATAGTAGTCTGGGCTATGCCAATCCTTCTCTTCAGGCTTACTGCCTAGAGCTTTGTGCCCCTCCTGCTCGCATCTCCTGCACAAACTCCCATGCTAACTTGCACGCTGGGACCAGAGCACACCTGTTTGCATGCTCTGTTCACGAGGCTCCGGTCGCATGGCACCCTGTGGGGCTGGGGCAAGTAGGAGCTGGGGGGGGGTGACCCTCCTCAGCTCCTCTCCTCTCAACTGTCTCCCTGCAGCTGTTGAACTCCCACCCACCATGGGCCCCACTTACCTCTCGGCTGTGCTAGGGGTCAAGGCTGGGATCCGCGCATCTGCTAGAGGTCCCTGAGGGGTCCAGGGCTCACAGGGGCACAATGGGCTGTCACCCATGCATCTTTCTCTGGAGCCGAACCCCAAGTGCGTCTTCTGCCATTGGTGGGCTCTTTTAAATCCTGCACATGCATAGTGGGCCTGCTGCTGGTGCCATGCCACTCTAGGGCCTGGGGGATCCCTGACCCACTAGAGAAGGGGGCTGATAAGTGCCCCCACCTTTGCCCTAACTCACGCACCCGAGAGCACCAGTCACGTGGCTCCCTGGGGGGCTGGGCCAAATAGGAGCCTGGGGTGGGGAGATGTATGAACCTCCTTGGAGGATCCTTGCCTCTCAGCTGCCTTCCCACAGCTGTCTAACTCCCACCCACTGCGGGCCCACTTACTTCCCGGCTGTGCTGGGGGCCAAGGTCAGGGTCTGTGTGTTTGCTGGGGGTCCCTGAGGGGTCCTGGGCTCATGGGGGTACAACGGGCTTCTGCCAATGCATCTTGCTCCGGAGCCGAACCCAAACCCCAAGTGCAGCTTGGGGTTTTCATAAGCATGCCACAAGTGATGGAAGTTGCAGTGGTCATCAGGTTCAGTAAATAAAGGCATACATGAATGAGAAGACCTAAACAATAAATTTTAATACAGGAGCAGTAGGCAAGCCTCTGTAGACCTTTTCTCTATCTCTCCAACACTGACTTTTAATTGATATCTAACTGAGGGACCAACTCACAATTCCTAACTCTCTCCGTCTTCTATTTGAAGCACTTTAAATAATAACTTTTATCATCACCACCATCATCATCACCATCCCTCTGTTTTCACTTACCTTCACATACCATTGTGAGACCAGTTCTGCCCCTTATACTGAGAGAGTAGCACAGAAGCGCAAACGACTGCTTATGGGATAATGTGCTTCTCAGTGGACCTGATTTTCTCCCAGTTACATATATGTAAATTAGGAGGAACCACATAGAAGCCAGTGATGTAAAACCAGGGTGAAATTAAAGTCAGCGCCACTGTACGAGGTATGACTGGGCCATACATGGTATTAGCAGAATAAGCCACAGGAAGAAAAACATCTCTTCTACGTCTGTCACAGTTGGTGAGCTGGTCACATTTGTCCTTCCTTGAGCTCTCTCTTTCTCCGGTTTATCTTGGGGTGTTCCTTGTGATTGAGCTCGTTTTCCTGTTGAGGCTGCTAGTTTTTCCTCTCTGGGGTTGCTAGGTTACCAACTCTTCTCCCAAATACTGTTGCTGCCACCTCCTGGATGTGTGTGGAAGATTTTTGCTATTTAGAAACCATTTTGCATTATGCATCCTCTTTTTCTTCCTCTCTCTTTAGTGTCACCTGCTTAAGAATTACAACTATTGAAGGACAGTTTAGTGTATGGAAACAAGTGCCTCTGGTTCTGGTAGCTGGGATTGGCAGAACTTCCTTTAATAGAGAACAATTTTATGTGCGCAGAACTAATTCCATTTTGCAAAACTTTTTCAATTCTTTATTTCAGGAGACCTGTGCTCTGTTTCTGACTTTAGCCACTGACTCACTGGGCTCTGACAGACATGACATTTGTCTTTGAAAAAGCTCTACTGTCATGTCCTGATGGAAATGCACAGCTGCATTAAAAAATGCCTGATCATGTGACAAATTAACCATCATGTAATGAAGGTTCAGATGAAGGAGCTCCAAAGCAGAGTGCCTTCATTAGCCCAGCCCCACCCCCAGTGCTGTCTGCAAGAAGGGAGGGGGATGGAGCTCTGGGCTGAGGTTTGCCCAGTCTCAGCTGGAGAGGGGGCATGTGTATTGCAGCCCCCCATGTTGGGTCTGGGAGCACCAATACATGCCCCGCCTCCGCTCAGGCTGGGCAACCCCAGCCTGGAGCTTCCTCCCCTCTCTTTTTCCCCGTCACATCCTGCAGACAGCACCAGTGCTGGGAGCGAGGTGGGGGCTAGGGGAGAGAGGCTGCAAGCAAGTAGCTCCTCCTGGATCAGCTCCAAAGTATAGCATGAACCCCTCCCCACTCCGACCCAAAAGCAGAGGTCTTTTGAATCAGGGGGAGGGGGGCGCTGTAACTCATGGCACTTTCTGTGAGTTTCACATCTGTCAGGACCACGCTGTCTCTTTGGGCAACTGAGTTTCCTGCTTAGTGACTCACTCTTCCTACTTGTAAATTGGGGAGAATGCTTCGGTGAAAGGTACTAGGTATTACAACGTCATGATTTAAGGGTGATTCGTCAGTTAATACCCATGCTTTTTGAGCAATTTGGGCTGTGCCCTCCTTGCAGAGAGAAATTGCTCTGGGCATTTATTGGCATTGTATTTACTGACTAAGTGGTTGGAAGTGGTTGAAAAATTTACTTGGGCTCCACTATCTTGCAAAATCTTGGTTTGGAAGCCAAAATTAATGCTTGCATTGGAAATGCAAGCAATGCTATGGCTAAACTTCAAAAGAGAATTTGGAAAAACAGAGTGCTCACTCTCTTGACAAAGATGTCTGTCTACAGTGCTTGTGTACTTAGCTCTCTATTGTATGGCAGTGAAACGTGGACGACTTATGCCAAGGAACAACGAAAACTGAACAGTTTCTATCTTAGATGCCTGTGTCGTATAGAATAATAGTAAATTAGGGTTGGAAAAGACTTCAGAAGGTCATCTAGTCCAACCCCTTGCTCAAAGCAGGACCATCCCCAATTAGATCATCCCACCCAAGGCTTTGTCTAGCCAGGTATTAAAAACCTCCAAGGATGGAGAGTCTACAACCTCTCTGGGTAACCTGTTCCAGTGTTTTACTACTCTCCAAGTGAGAAAATTCTTCCTAATATCTAACTTAAACTTCTCGTGTTGCAACTTGAGACCATTGTCCCTTGTTCCGTCATCTGCCACCACTGAGAACAGTTTAGCTCAGGGGTGGGCAATTATTTTGAGCAGAGGGCCGCTTACCCAGTTTTGGCAGGCTGTTGAGGGCCGCATGGGTAGCCACATCCCTTGACAGGTTCCCCACCCGTTGACAGGTTTCCCGCCCTCTGGTCACTGTCTTGGGACCAATGTCCCAATGTCTTGGGACCAATGTCCCAGGGCCAGTAACGGTGGGGCCCAAAGTGGGGCGCAGGCCGGCAGGCGCCTGTGGATCCAGGCTGGGCTGCACCAGCAGGGAGGCAGGGAGCTGGCCTGGCTCCATAGAGCCCTGCCGGCTGAGACCCTGCACTCTTGCTACTCTGCTCTGGGCCCCACTGGTACTGGCCCCAGGACACCGGTGCGGGCCCTGTGCCCCCACTGGCTCCCCGCCTGCTCACACCCAGTGCCCCCCCAGACCCGTGGTACAGGCAGGGGGCAGTGCACAGCCCTGACCCAGCCTGGCAGTGGGGCCAGTTTACAACATGGTGCTGAGCGCAGAGCGGGGAGAGAAAGTAGCCCCTCCCCACCCCATGGCCGGCACCGCACGCTGCAGTCACTTGCAGCCTGCCTGGGGCTGCCTGTGCCTGCTCTGGACAGCCCCGCACGGGCTGCGAGCACCTGCAGCGTGGGGTGTTGGCCATGCAGCGGGGAGGGGCTGCTTTTCCCTGCACAGGGAAGGAGCCCAGGGAAAAGCTGAGCCCGGTGGGGGGGAAGTGGCCCCACCCCCATCCCATGGCCAGCACTCCCTGCTACAGGTGCTCGTAGCCTGCATGGGGCTGTTCGGAGCAGACACAGGCAGCCCCACGTGGGCTGCAAGCAGCTGCAGCACAGGGCACCGGGCATGCATGAGGAGGGGCCGCTTCCCCCCCACCCTGTGCTCCTTTCTTGCCTGGGGTCCCTCCTCCCCTTACCTGAGCTTCCCATGCCAGGGCAGCCATGTGCTCTCAGCCCAGAAACCCCGCCTGGGGCTTCCAGATGTGAGGCGGGGTGGGGCGGCCTGGCTGTTGTTGGAGCCCTCTGGGCTTCCCCTGAGCCCTACTGCCCTTGGTTCCTGTCATTTTTGACAGGAACCAAGGGCAGAGAAATATTAATTTTCCACATTCTTTTAGGGGCCACGGAGGCTGTATTTTGCCCACCCCTGGTCTAGCTCCATCTGCTTTTGAGCCCCCCTTCAGATAATTGAAGGCTGCT